TAAGCGGCAATCCTAATTTTAATTTACAAATGTTTTCGAGCCTGCCAAACAAAAACAAACACACTCCCCTAACATATCAATTTGTGTCTTTGTTCTACCGCAGGACGAACAGCAGCGACCAAAGATTCACTGAGTGGAGGGTGTTAAAGATTAAAAAGTTCAGGGCACAGTGATGTCTTTGGACCTGCAGGAATCATCATATAAACCACAGACCGATAATATCATAACAGGATGTAGAGGACAGCCCACTTCCCCTTAAGGCTCAGCGTGACAAGACCCCACCGGGCCCTAATGGTAATGACGGTCCTCATGCAAGCAGAAAGACCAAGGTGTGTGTGTGCATGTGTGTGTGTGTGTGTGTGTGTGTGTGTGTGCTTCAACTTGTTTTGGTAGCATGTTCGTCCATATGTCACACACATGCTGATGACATCATCTTCATCATCATTATTGACCCATCACTGTGATTGGTTCTGACAGTGCTGGGTGTAACAGAGTACATGTACCAGCGTATTTAAAATAGAACATATGAGTAACTGTATTCCGTTACAGTTACCGTTTAAAAAGGTGGTATACAGAATACAAACAACAGAAAATATCAACAATCAATAACAGCTGATTTCATCACGCGCTCAGCTGCTCAAACGCTTTCACTTTATTTAAAGTTATTGATCAAACGGGCTGATCGTTTCCGGTGTCAGAAAACCTCAAATAAACAACTCAAATCAAATCAATGTAGTAAACTAAACTCCAGCTGATCCCCTCCTCCCTCCGGCCCGGCTCACCTGGCGCAGGTGCAGTCCCGGTACAGCGTCTCGAAGTCGGGTCTGCTGATGAGCTTGCAGCGGTTCACTCCGGGCTGGATGGCTCCGAGCCCGCGCAGCACGCGCACCTGCTCCACGGTGCAGACCACGGGGCTGATGCGCAGGCGCTTCAGCTTGGTGTACACGGTGTGCAGTCCCCCCACCAGGTGCTTCAGGAACAGCTGGAACACCTGTGGCAGGCACAGCAGCTCCGCACCGTCCACCGTGAACGACGCCACCTGCACGCCGTGCACGTCCACCATCCGGCAGTCCGCGTGCGCGACACTGCCGCCGGGCAGCCGCGAGGGGCCGGCCGGGACAGAAGCACTGTGAGGCGGGTCGGAGTGGAGCAGAGGGTCGGTGTGAGGGTTGGAGGTCCGGATGGAGGAGCCCGCCATGTCCGAACCCTTGTTTAATCCGCCGCCCGCGCGCGTCTGTCCACGAGCAGCCGTTCACGCTGACTCCACTCAGCTCTCACCCCTCCTCTCTGCCGCCAACAGCCAATCAGGATCCAGCCAATCACACGCGGGCGCCACAGACGGACAAGACTACCGTTGGCTGAGGACAGCGCTCCCAGGGGCGGGGCTTCTGGGCTGTGATTCTGACAGGTGAGTCTGAGGTTTATCGTTCACTTTGTTTCGACTTTTTACATTCATTTTATTTTTTTATTCATTTATTGATGTTTTAAACAAAGCTCACAAAAATAATACATGTATGTAGACACACACACACACATATAATTCGACATAATTAGTTTATTACCAGGCCTCTGGAGAACTTCAAGACATGTTGAGGAGGTCGTTTAGCCATTTAAACCAGCTGCGTTGGATCAAGGAAACATGTAAAACCTGCAGGACACCGGCCCTCGAGGCCTGGAGTTGGACATCTGTGGTTTAGTCAAGTCAAAAAAAACTCTATTTATCCCCAAGGAGCAATTAAGATAGATGCCCTGCCGACCATACATACAAAACACAAACATCACATTGGGGAGACCGGTCAGGCTAGGTAGCACTGGCCGGTCGCCCAACGAGCAGCGACCC